TAACTAAAATGATTTAAAAAAGAGAATGGTCTTACTTCTTATATACACTACCATGGATATAAACATTATTACTTTTTTTTACAAATGGTACTATAAATCTAAACAGAGTTGAGCTGAGCACTAAGAAACAACCCTAGGGGTTGTGTAAAAAGGCACTGATTCCCTCATGTGAAGACTGGAAGGAGGTAGAAGAGAGTTCTTTTACTGATGTCACTGGTGGCCTTCTAGCTACGTAATGTCTTACGGATTCCCCATCTCTTGCTTTTCCTAGCTTTTGTATTACAGCAGTCTCATTCCTTCTGAATGTCCATGAATATCTTCCATGATTACTGCTCTTACCTTACTATCCTGCCAATAAAGTTGGGCTGGAATTGATAAAAGGACTTATTGTGCAAGCTTATTCTCCATTTAGTGTTACTCCTGCATGACCCAACACATATATCCATATTATTGTCTTATCATGGTTGGTTACTTTGATCAATCCAGAACAGAGCTATTTTTATTGCTTCCAGCTTAATGCCTGTTGTTCCTTCTCAAGATGATAAATGCTCAACCACCATTTTCATTATATTTGATGTAGGAACCCTCTATGTCTACAATAACAAGTAACTGTCTTACCATGGTCTTTAAACAGGTGCTGACATGCATTTTTTTTCTTCACTTTTTGTCCAATCTCTATATTTTATACAGATCCCAATGGAATCAGATATTTACTCTACATTGGGAAATCTGGTGGCGATTAATATCTCATTTGTGGTTGAATGGCACCTGTACACCCACGACTGTCTCCTACAGCAATGTTTAGGCAATCTCCTGCTTAGCTGATGTCTGCAAAGTCATTGGGGAGATAAAATTTCCCAACTGAAAAGGGTTGTGACTCAATGACAGAAAGCATTGTCTTTTTACTACAAGGCTCTAGTGAATAATTTTGCTTGTAAGCTCTGTTGGTATTCAGTAAAACTGCTGAGACTTGTGAGATTTAACAGGGATTTGATGGGGATGGCTGAAGTACATCCCATGCCCAATCATAAACAGGTGTTTTGTATCTTTTCAACCTTACCTATCTGTGTCGCACTCATACTGATCATTAGTTGTGCATAATCCAGGACAGAACAGATAAGATTTTCATAATGCATAAGCAGGTACTTCAGCTGTATTTCTTGTTGCAACTTTTAATACATTGATCCCTTTGGTAGCTTTGGTTAAAATGTTTTTCTCAGTGGTTTCTTCTAGGTACTTCAGTGTTTTCTCTAGAGGGATAGCAGTGGCACAAAGGATGATGACAACTTGTCCTCATCAGTATATCTGTTGTAGAGTGTGTAGAACATGGCTGTGGCTTTAGCAGGAATGATAATCATTCCTGTGTCATTTCACAATTTTAACACCTGGTTAAGGGATGGTTGCATCTTGACTTTGACTTCAGCTTTGCTAGAGCCTCTACTATACACCAAAACGTCACCAGCAAAGGTTAGTAGACAGCATCTAGTGGAGCTGTCAAGGTTGGCTAGATCAACTATGTAGATTATAAAGATGTCAGACCAGTGTTGATTATAATTCAATCTTACTGCCAGCTTCCACATTTCACAATGGTAGTTAGTGCAGCTATGACCCATCTTACACACATTACACTGCTACCTGTTCTGAGCATTTTGTCAGCAAGAATGGACATTTGAACTCTACTGTAGACATCATCTAGATCTAAGGTTACTGTCAAATTATTCTGAGCAGCATCAAAGTCTTTCCATGTATCATCTGCAAATTCAGTAATGATCATTGAGGTTTATCTTCTACTGCTATATTCACTTAATGAGGACAGTAGTAGTGGTTCAAACTGATAAGCAAGCCAACTAGCTACAAACTTCTCTGGAATCCTAAAAAAGGAATTATTAAATATTTTAGGGTTGTTACTTGTTGCCTACCTACACTGATACTTCAATAGGATGACTTCTGTAAGATGCTTAAATGTGGAGGTTCATTTGGACCAGAAGCTCCATTTTATATATATTTATGGTTTTGTGTATTTCATCCAAGCTAAACTTGCTTTCCATATCTGTGTGTAGTTGTAGCTCAAATTTGTTTATTTGCTGAATTTTGCACAAACCTACTCAAGGTTTATCTGCACTAGTTGTCCCTTATTTAGAAGTGATAGGCTGAAGGCAGCTAGTCAACACCACTCATTGCCAACTCTTTAGTTACACTTTTACCACTGAAAAATTAATTTTACAGTCACATAATAATACTCTCATGATTGAAAGGGCAAACATGTTCAGTAATGGGATTCGAACTCAAGACCCATAAGTTGAGAGTTGAGTGCCCTAACCACCACGCCATGCCAGGTTCTGTAACTCAGACTGGAGTTCTTGTAACTTCAGCTTCTCTTGCATGTTACCATGATCACAGTGGTGGATGTATCTGAGCATGAAAACCTTGCCCTGATCTTCATGTTTAAAGAGTGGAGTACCATCACCACCGTAAATGACTGACATTGACATGTTTTTGGATCCTGTGCTAGCCATAAGCTAGTTGAAATGTCAGAATGAAGTGGTCGTGAGATACGTTATGTTGAATAATTCATCCCATTTCATGACGTGTGCTTTGGGCACAGATTACCTGTAAAGAGAATAGGCTCTATCCCATGCAATCCTTGCCTCTTCTGCTCAAGGTGGGTCATACATCATTCACGTGAACTTAATCTGGTCTTGATTGTGTACCTTCCAGGTTTAATCAATCTCACTATTCCACCAGTAAGGGGTGTTCATTTTGTAAAAGTTAATGATATGATTTTTCTCAGTAGTGAAGAGATGCTTGATGGTATGAGTACTGTCAAAAAGCTTAACACCCTTGTATGGGTTTCTAGATTATTTTACACCACTTTGTCTTCCAATCTTCACATAATCCTCCCACATCTGGTGAACATTGCAAACACCATATCCCTGATGCCAGTGAAGGTGGAGTTAAAAAACACAAGGACTCTATACAGGTGGCTCTCTCACCTTGTAACTCTCAGCAATTCTAGTTAGTTCATCCAAATTTAGCAGTATATGGTTGGTAGTTAAACTTTGGAGAACAGAATGTAAACCTTTGTCATTGGTGTTCTCTCCTGACCCAAGTGGGGTGTGTGGCACTGATGTCTCTAACTGCTAGGTACATACGGGTGTTATCAGATATATCAGGTAGGAACCTCCAATCTTTAGCTGTGTTACCTTTCATGTATATATTAGTGGTATGGACTTGTATGGGTAACTTCAGGTGAGCTATCTTGATGGTTTGTAGCTTACAATGGTGATTATTCCACTGTGAGCTCTCATAAAGTTCACAAATGTACTGATATATAATAAGTTTTATCTTTATTTCTTTGTCCAAGAAAATGTTAGGGTTAAGTCCTATTTACAGTTTAAGAAGGTCCTGATTATTTTATTTCATTTTTGAGGGAAAATAAACTATCAAGGAATTCCTCCTCAAGCTACAGGGCTTTGCTCTAAAATTTTCTTGGACAAAGAACATAAGATGAAGATGTTCTAGTAAAGAATGAATCACTAGATAGTTTATTTTAATGATTTGAATACAATGAAGTTTTGAAAGGAATCAATAATTAAGGAAATG